AGCATTGTTTCTATATAACATTTTTTTAATTACATTTCTTTAATTACCTTATATGTTGTAAATAAATTTCTAGACGATGGAAAGGGTGAAAGTTATTATATATAAAAGTACTAAATAAATATGATGGACCCTAATTAAAAGTGATTAAAATTGACAGTCCAAAATTTGAAAGCGCATAGACTTTCGTGAGATATGGACATTCCAATTGATTTATATGTGATTAGAGGTGGAATAAAATTATTTATTCGATAGATGGATAAAATTAACGGTATGAACGAACTTTATATTTAGATGAATATTATGTTGCTACTTGAGTCTTCTCTAAAATTGTGGGGGTACGATTATTGTTTGCATAGTATTCCATGCATTTAGCAGCACCTTAGGATGACATAGACTCATTCACATCCAGATCATGAATATTAAAGTTTGAATACGCCTTAGGATTTGTGGTGATGACAGTGATTACTTCAAATTACAATTTAAAATATTAAACCGTGTTGTAGTAATTAAGTACCTTGCCTTGTTAAATTTAAGATGCATACATAAGACGTTGATAATTCAATATTCAATATAAGGATTCAAAATCTGTCAGGAAATATATTTTACTATTGAGAGTGTAACTATTTCGTGAAAATCCTTCATACAACTTGAGAACTGAAAGATTAAAATAGAACTTTCAATAAAGTTGGAAGGAAGCACGTGATTTCGAACAATTATGGAAAAAATTTTAAATTTATATATATTTGTATTTCTTATGTGAATTAATTATAATAGCTATATACATTTCATAAGATGCGAAATCTATCATACAATGGTAAGTATAGACTGTACATGCATTTAATACAAGCAGTTTTTGTTCCCTAATCTGTTGTGGCACATTTCGCAATTAATCTCTCTCACGATACTCTAAGGATAAGGTGGTGGGGGACCCTTAAGGTTGAGGTTCAACCTTTTTAATATATTGTATTATATTATTATTGGAAGAATCATTGTATCTTGGAAGGTAGACGTAATTTGATCACTTTACCACTAGAGGGCAAAATCTATCTTAAGGACATCTCCAATTGTGCAATGATACAATAGATTATCACACCAATTTGGTGCAATGAAAAAAGATACATGCAATCTTTGAACTTTTTGATTATTTCCATTTTGCCATTCATTTTATATTACAACAAATTATAATTCCTTCTATGTAATTTTTCTACCTTTTAATATATAATGATTTAACTTTATTTATATTATTTTAATTTAATTATTATTTTAAATTAACCTTTATTTGTAAATTCAAATCAAGTAATAAATAACAATTATTGAATATATTAAATTAAAAATTCTCAATTTGATAATTAGAAATTAAGAAGAAATTAGCACTAGAACAATATAAATATTTAAAAATAATAATTTAGAGCACGATACTACATTAAATGACAAAACTAGTTTTGGTTTTTATTATATGTAATTTTTGCGCGTTACAATGTAGGTTTTTTTTTTCCCCCAATTGTGGTATTCAATTTAATGCTCTTTTAAATTTATCAAAAAACTGCAACATTTTAGTTCATTAAGACCCTGTATAAGTCCCATTTTTAGAGGAAAATAGATTTTGGAATGAAAAATGTGTAGTTAAAAAATATGAATATTTTGGATTTACATGTAAATTTATTTTACGAGAGAATATGCAATTGAAAATGAATTTAAAATTATGAGAAAAATGGAGCTCAAACATAGGCTAAATTTAATTTTAATTTAATAGTTTTAGTAATAATATAGTTTATAACTAAATAGTTGTTGAAATAAAGGAAATACTATTCATTGGTGTAAATTTTTGTGTAACAATAGGAGAGGTGTGAAAATTGCACTAATTTGATGTAAAAGTTACACCAAATTAATGCAAACCAATGGAGATGTCCTAAGAAGATTTGCAATCACATACCTTGTTTTATTTTATCTTTTTTCATTTTCTTTGCATTTGTAGGTTGCAATTTGTTCATATTTTCATGCATGTATATTTCTTTCGGTAAGTCAAAATTCTATCCTGTAAATCGCACCAATAAATCATGATTTTATTGTATTTGCATGGACGCATTTTTGTCCAAAAAATATAATTATGCACTAATTTATCCCATAATTTATCGATTTACAGAATTACCGACGAATATGGAACCATATTTGTTGATCATATGCAAGCCAATATAAAAAATAAAAATAAAAAAACTGCAATGTAAATATAAGATATGCTCAACTTGAGTACTGAAGTGTTTTTCTATCACCATATTCACTTTAATTTTAGTAATCGAGCAGCCTGTCAACATTCATTGACGTGTATAAGCTTTCGAAAAGACTTTAACACAAAATGAACATTATTCTAGTCAATTACAATGCTATTGGTATAACTAGTAAATTTCGGTACAAGTCTCTGTCCGATTATTATCTCTATTTGATTCATTATTCCAAACACGCAGCCTTTGTTTGACCTTCATTTTTTCGAATTAAAAAAAAAAAGATTTTGTAATAGTAGTTTTTGAGAAAATGTGTGATTAAAATAATAGGAAAAAATTGAGTTTAAGTGTAAATTATTTTCCCCTCGACTCGTCTCCATTTAAAGCAAAAGCTATTTAATTCTCATACTCATTTTCAACTTTACATTCATATAATAAAATATTTTGTACGTAAACTCAAAAATTTTCCTACTTTTTAACCACACATTTTTCTAAAAATCACTATTTAAAATATCAATTTTTTCAATAAAGCTATCTAACAGGAGTTAGAAAAATGTATAATTGAAAATAAATTTGAGAAAAAATAAATTTTGAAATAATGGGCTCACCGGAACACAAGTATTTGCGTTATATGGAAAAAGCTCCTTGTCCAGGGCCCATGCCCTGGATGGACTGGGGCGTCATTTTCCCTATAGGTGGATGGCTTGTTTATATTGGTTAATGGTTAGGACATGATTTTACAACCAAGGTTCATGCATGATTTTTTCTCTCCTAACTTTTTGTTTCATTGTTTGTTCATGGCTTGTCTATCAATTGCAAATCTTGCTACGAATAAATAAACTCATTTTTTTTTCTCTTCTTGCTTTCATTTAATCACTCTGGAAAAAGAGTATAGTCGTTTGTCTTTTCTTTTCTCCAAAAGTTTACAATTTTGATTTATAAACAGCATATAACACGTCATTTTTGGGAAGTATCTTTAAATGATTTAAGTTATATATAAATAAAAATGAGCGTTGAGAAGTGAGTAATACTCCTGAAATTCTTGATATATGTGAATAAAAAGTCATTTGATTGTTTATAAACAATTAATAAACATGAGTTTGTATGGATATGGACAATGGACAAAGAATAAAATAAAAATGCAACCTTGACTATTTCAAATCCTTAAAAATAGTCTCTCATTGAGTTAAAGAATAATGTTAGTTATTAATACACATGATTGTTACGGTGAATTCCTTGATTTATTGTTCAAAGTATTAAAATGATACACAATTTTATTGGATTCATTGTCCAACATATTAAAATGAAAACAATTTATTGGACAATGAACCAAGGGATCAATACTGCCTAAACTGATGAGAATGTTTTTTTTTTTTTTTAAATGACTATCATTGAGATTCTCATATATTCAAACTAAACTCCTATTTGTTTCCATTTAAATGAGATTTTAAGGAAAAATAATGATTTTTTTCAATTTTCGTGCAACATTACTTTATGGGAGAATGTATGATTGAAAATAATTTAGGAAACAATATTTCTGAAAAATGGAGTCCAAACATGGGGTAAAATAGAATAAGATGATATGCTCGACATATCAAGAAAAAATATGAGGTCTAAGGTAGGGGTGTAAGCGGTCTGGTTTTACCGGTTTTTGACAAATTTTCAAACCAAACCGTTTAAAACGGTTTGAGAAAAACCCAAACCTAAACCAAACCATTTTGAACGGTTTGAAAAAAACTCAAACCTAAACCTAACGGTTTGGTCCGGTTTTAAACCGCCGGTTTCGCCATATATTTTTTTATCCGTCTATTTTTATGTCATTAATTCATTGAATTTAATATATATTTATATCTCACTAGTAATAAATCTAAAATAAACTAAGCCTCGGTTTGAATCAAATTTTTGGGACAAAAAAATGAAAATTTGGATTGTTATTCTACAAGTCCAGCCACCTTTGTTAACCTGCTATTTCATGTGTAGGATCCAACCTCCTCTCCAATAGTCAATTCTCTCATTATGATGATATGAAAAATATGGCTCAAACAGAGACTAAATATATCTACTATAAATTTAAATATTAAATAAATCAAAGTGAAATCACAATAAACTAAAACATAATTTTTTTTTTCATTTTTGTTCACCTTTTTTAGGTTAATGACGATATAATAACGTTGCAATACAAGTCTACTAAACTAGATATAAGGTCCAAAAAATTTAAAGCATCTCCAATCGTGGTGAAAAATAGATCGAAAATCTCTTCGATAAAGAGATTCTAAGGACATACAAATTGCATTTTTGACGATTTATTTTTTATTTTTTTATTTTTTTTAACATCCTGAAGAAGCAAAAGTGAGGGATGTAAATGAGAATACAAAAACAATTTTAGCCCTTGATGGCCGTTATTTGATCAAAATAATGTTTTTAATAGTAATTTTTAAGAAAATGTGTACTTAAAAAGTAAAAAAATATTTTAGATTTACGTGTAAAATATTTTATTATTTGAATATGTGATTGAAAATGAGTTTATAATTTTTTTTAAAATAAAAAATGTCAAACGAAAATTTAAAAATATTAATTTACATCCAATTTGACATTGGCAATTAGAAATCTTATAATTTTTAACTACTTTCTTTCAATTCTCTTTCTAGGAAAAAAGAATCCGACAATTTTTGTATAGAAAAAATCTTACAGACAATGAGACATCATTGAAAGATGAGGAAAAAAAAAAAAAAAAATTCTAATGTCACATTAGCATCTGTACAAGTTTTTATTGTAAAAATAAAGGTTGAATTGATTGATTTGCTCGGAGGAAAGAGAAAATTATACTCCGTTTGTGTTCTACAAGGTACAGAGAGTAGTGAAAACGTTAGGCACAAGGAGATGAGTAGAGTGGCCCTTATCATCTTCGCTTGATATGCACGGGCATGCACCTGTGCTTTCAGTGTGAAAGTCTGTGCCTGGAATCGAAGGCTATCTGTATATTCGAGCTTCAATGAGGTGAAATATGCTTGATTTGTGGATCGAAGCTGTTGAGCTGTGTGAAGAAAAGATCGTAGCTTTCTTGTGATCGTCTGTTCGAGGTCATTGATTGAGTGCAACCGAGATCTGAACAGGGTTTTAAATATTTATTTATTTTTATTTTTTTGTGATTTTGTTTCTGGGTTTAAAAGATTCTTGTTCTTTGAGGAATTTGGGACTCATCAACTGTAAAATTTTCAGTTAAAGCTAAAAGATTTGGTTTCACTTTCATGGTGGAGTTTGAGCTGAAATATGATTGTTGATCAGTTCAAGATTTGGCATATGAATTTCTTGGAAATGAAATTCTGTGCCTGGGGGTGTTTGGTGAAGAATATAAAGAGCTGATGAAGCTGAACTTTTTCGTGTTCTGTAGTAGAAGAGGTTTTGGTTGAACATATTCGCAGCCGCAGGGGAGTTATAGTTAACATTTACTTCAAAATATTTACGTGAAGAACTATAATTTCCTCAATTCTCTTGCACTATATTTGGGGGTTGGCAGTGAAGGGGGTGGGGTGGAGTGGGGTAGATATCTATTGCTATGACTGCATGCATTGAAGTGGTGCCAAATTTGGGTTGAAAAGGGCAATTTTCTTTCTTGTTGGATCTTTTTACTGTTGAACCTGCAGGAATGAAGCTCTCTTCTTCTGGTTTAAGTCAGCAGTCTCCTGAAGGTGAATGTCTTTTCTTGAAGTTAATGCTGGCTATTTTAAGGATGCATATCTCACAAAAGAACTTCCCACTATAATCTCATTTTAGCCTTTTTTGGGTGAGATCAGAATGTATGTAAAATTGCATATTCTTTAGTAGTTAAAGGTGAAATTGAGCAATAGCAACCTCTTTATTCCTAATTATAAAATATTGATTGCAGAATCCCTGCTGATGGGAGCTTAGTATTCTACAAATTGGGAAGGGGGGTGGGAGGTTTACAGTGAAAATTAAAACCTTTTGAATTCTGGGCTAAGGAGGGTTCCAATGTGGATCTTGGATGAAAAAAAGAAAAAAATAAATAAATAAATCCTTTATTTCAAAATCCCTCTTATCCCTTTTTTCTCTGTATTTTTTTAATTTTTTGGGTCAAGAGAGGCTTTTATTACAATTTTTATTTATTTATTTATTTATTTATTTTTTTGAGAGGCTTATGTCAGGATTCCCTGTATAAATATCCTCTTCATGATATCAAGGCTTCTATTTGTTGTCATTAATGTTCCTTTTGATTTTTTATATAGACTGCAAAATTTAGCCCCTGTTTGATATTTTCATAAGAATACATTCTTGAATAGTGTATTGATAGGAAATGTGTGGTTAAAATATAAGGAAAATTTTTGAATTTACGTGTAATATTATTTTATTAAAGAATGTGGCCATTGAAATTATGTCAAATCACTGTTTAAGAATTTTTTTTTTTTTTTTTTTTAAAGAATGTGGCTCAGGCCTTAATTTCCAAACTGCAACCATTTTAGGAGGATGTAGTAGGACGAGTAATTTTGATAATTTTAGTTTGATTATCAGGGGATAAGAATTGTCTGAATTCTGAACTTTGGCATGCCTGTGCTGGTCCTCTTGTTTCTTTACCTGCTGTTGGGAGCCATGTGGTGTATTTTCCTCAGGGTCACAGCGAACAGGTTTGTTTCTTGACTTTTTTATGTTGATGATAAATTACAGTTTTCTCAAGGTTGAATCTTGTACCCTGTACATTTACTATTAATTTGTTTTTAGTTCGCTGGTGCCACTGATGGCAGGTGTGTCTTGAAAATAAGATCATGTTGACCTCATTATTTTTTCAATGATTTCTCAACAGGTTGCTGTATCAACCAACAAGGAAGTTGATGCACAAACACCGAACTACCCAAGCTTGCCTCCACAGCTAATTTGTCAGCTTCATAATGCGACCATGCATGTAAGAGATCTTCAATTTTGGTTGTGTTTCAATTATCCTTAACAGGCTTGCTCTAGAAGCTTATTATTTGTCATCCAGGCTGATGTCGAGACAGATGAGGTTTATGCTGAAATGACCTTGCAACCATTAAGCCCGGTACGTCAACTTTATATCAAGACTGGGTCGTCAATTATTCATGTTTTGTGTTGGTTGAGTTAAATTTTAACGTGCCTTTAATGCAGCAAGAGCAAAAGGATGTTACTTTACTTCCTGCAGATCTGGGTACTCCCTGCAAACAGCCAACAAATTACTTCTGCAAAACATTAACGGCAAGTGATACAAGCAGTCATGGTGGATTTTCAGTTCCGCGCCGGGCAGCTGAGAAAGTTTTTCCACCATTGGTAAATATATCTGGTTTCTATAAAGTTATAACTGTCCAGTTATGGTTCACCTATATTTGATGTCCTGTACATAGGCTCTAATGTTCTCAGCCTGCAGGATTTTGCTCAGCAACCCCCAGCTCAAGAGTTGATTGCACGGGATCTGCATAACAATGAGTGGAAATTCAGACATATTTTTCGAGGCAAGTTTCTTAAATGTGGGGAATCCTGTCTTTTGTAGGATTTTTGCTAAATGGGGATTAACTTTATTTCAAAATATTTCCTGTTACTTTTCATCTTCTATTGTTTAGTTTTCTTCTAACTACTTGATTCACCATTATCTCGATCTATATCAACTCTAGGATATGTATGATTTTAGAATATTCAAGTCTGTGGAATACCCAGTAAAATATTAATCTGCCGCCTGTAACCCAGCAGATTACATGGTCCAGGGCCCCGAAATGGCTGCCATAGAAATATCCTCTCCCGACGTAAGAAGTCCAATTGGAGCAAGTCGTCCACGATAACTTCTTTCTGTTCTATTCCCGTCTTTCTGTCTTAAATAGATCGGCCTATGAACATAGAAACTGTCTACCTGACGATTTTTTCTTCAGAAATATGTGGGCTAATTCCTGTAATTGTTTATGTTCGTTTCACAGGTCAGCCAAAGAGGCATCTTCTTACTTCTGGATGGAGTATGTTTGTCAGTGCGAAAAGACTTGTTGCTGGTGATTCAGTCCTTTTCATATGGTACGCATTAACTTGTTCTGGTCTCGTAACATCGGCATTTTCTTTCTTCTTCTTCCATTCCGGTTGGGTAATATTTTTGCAATATTTGAGAATAAGTGCATGGGCTAGATCTACATTTGAATTGTTTTTATTACTTTAATTAGGAATGACAAGAATCAATTGCTTCTTGGTATCCGACGTTCCAATCGCCCACAAACTGTCATGCCTTCTTCGGTTTTATCAAGCGACAGCATGCATCTGGGGCTTCTTGCTGCTGCTGCACATGCAGCTGAAACAAAAAGCTGTTTCACCATATTTTTCAACCCAAGGTGTTCTCTTTGCACCATGATCAAGTTTATGCTTGTCAGATCAATGGTGTCTCTAACTCGTTTACTTCTGAATTCAGGTCTAGTCCATCAGAATTTGTTATATCTCTGGCCAAATATGTGAAAGCCGTTTATCATACTCAAGTCTCTGTTGGTATGCGATTCAGGATGCTGTTTGAAACAGAAGATTCTAGCATTCGTCGGTATGTTTCCGGACAACTTATGCAGAATTTTACTTCCTTTACCATTATTTGTTTGTGGAAAAATTCATTTAACATCCTAGGTTTGCACGTTGACTTCCAATAATTGATTTTTTTCTTTTCTTTTCTATGTAATAATGAGCTATCATCCATCTTGTGAGCTAAAGAAATATCTGAAAACCTCTCGAATAGCTTTAAGATAAGGAACATGGTGTTAAATTGACTTCAAAATACAAACCGAGATGGCATGCCCCCCCAAGTTCAATGTATCTGTCAATGTATCTGTCACGAAGTTGATATTACGTATTTTCTGTTGTTCCATAGGTGTATATTTTCTGTTGTTCCATAGGTGTATATGCATTTCTCCTCCTCCCTTATGAGTTCCTTATCTTACTAAAAGTTGTATACATTCAACTGATAATTCTAATTATATGCTTGGTTCCAGCTATATGGGGACGATAACTGGCATAAGTGAATTTGATCCCGTTCGATGGCCAAATTCGCATTGGCTTTCTGTGAAGGTATGCTATATGCCACAAACTTCCTCCTACTTATTCTTTGTTTAACACAGGCAATATATATGGTGTCCCACTCTACATTGCTTAACGAGTGACTGATTGAAACTTTTGAAATCCTGTCCTTTTTCAAAGGTGTCCATGTTAAACTTTCACCATGTTGATGCAGGTTGGTTGGGATGAATCTACTGCTGGTGAAAGGCAACCTAGGGTCTCCCTATGGGAAATTGAGCCTTTGACAACATTCCCCATGTATCCGTCGCCATTTCCCATGAGACTAAAGCGACCTTGGCCTCCAGGACTCCCCTCATTCAGTGGTATGAAGTTGAATTTTCTGATTGTCTTCCATTCTATCCTTGCTCTCCCAAACATTTTTCTTTGCTTTTGAAACCTCTTCTTATCACACGCGATTCAGCATAAGAGACGGAAATACAAAATATCTAGTGCAGTAACTAATATTGTTTGTTGCTCTTAGGGGTGAAGAATGATGATACAGGGATAAATTCCTCTCTTATGTGGCTCTGTGGAGATATTGGAAACGGTGGAATGCAATCTCTCAACTTTCAAGGAACGGGAGTCACGCCATGGATGCAGCCAAGGCTTGATACTTCAACACTTGGCATTCGAACTGACATGTACCAAGCTATGGCTGCTGCTGCTGCTCTTCGGGAGATGAGGGTTATTGACTCTTCGAAACAGATCCTCTCGTCACGCATCCAGTTCCAGCAACCCCTGGCTGTCGGTAGCTGGTATGACGGTTTGGTGCAACCTCAGACCATGCAACAGTCCCAGTCCCCTTCTCCTTTTCGTCAAAGCTTTCAAGAAAACCAGCCTCAGGCACCTCTACAACAGCATGCTCATCTTCTTCAGCCGCAATTGCAGCATCAAAACTCTTTCAGTAATCTACAGCTCCAACAGCAGCATTTGACTGATCCTCAGCAGGTTTCAAGTGCTGTACCTGTCCTATCTCAATTGGCTTCAAGCTCTCAAGCCCAGCCTTCAGAGCTGCAATCCGTTTCTTCCGTGCACCCACAGAACTTTCTGGATTCAAATGTCAAACCTGTCACTAGCAATATTAGTTTTCCTCTTCACAGTTTATTGAGCTCAGTCTCCCAGGTTGAAGCGCCCAACCTTGTTAACATGCCTAGTTCGAGAGACTTATTATCTTCCAGTGGTTGGCCCACAAAGAGGGTTGCCATTGATCCTCGTTTTCATTTGGGAACATCTCAGTGTATATCATCCCAGGTGGATCAGTTGGCACCACCCAACACTAACATATCTCAAAATGCTGGTTCTTTGCCTCCGTTTCCTGGTAGGGAGTGCATTATGGATCAAGGAAGCAATGATCCCCAAAGTCACCTTTTATTTGGATTTAATATAGATTCCGCATCCCTTCTCATGCAGAATGAGATGTCACATCTTAGGGGAGTTGGTAGTGATAGCAATAATCCAACAATAGCGTTGGCCTCTTCCAACTACTTGAGTAGCACTGGCACAGATTATTCAATTGACCCAACAGCTTCTTCCAGTTGTATCGATGAGTCGGGTGTCCTGCAGTCGTCCAAAGGCATGGGGCAACCAGACACATCTTCCAAAACCTTTGTTAAGGTAGGCCGCCTTAGTTACCCCATTGAACCCTGTCTACCTATCAAAACGGAGAAGTATATCTCCATTACCTGGCAGCTTGTTGGGGGAATTGGTAGGATTGCCGAATGCACTAAATTACATTCCAAAATTTATTTCTTTTTTCATTTGTATTTCCTTTTTTCAACAGGTTTACAAGTCAGGGTCCTTTGGAAGGTCACTGGATATCACCAAGTTCAGCAGCTATCATGAGCTGCGCGGTGAACTTGCAGTGATGTTTGGCCTCGAAGGCCAGTTGGAGGACCCTTTGAGATCAGGCTGGCAGCTTGTATTTGTGGACCGAGAGAACGATGTTCTTCTCCTTGGCGATGACCCCTGGCTGTGAGTTTTTCCGTCTTAAAAATGTGTGCATGAAATTTTTGTGTTTTATAGCATGCATTTGTTCGTGTTCTCCGAGTCTGGATCATTGGATGTAAAACTATCATTACAAGTTCTTGTGGATCTCCTTTCTAGCATTAGGGGCATAACTTGGGTAATTGAGGCCCTTAGTCGTGTCTTATTTATCTTGTTAGGTTACGTCAGCATCAGGATGAAATGCCTCTTCTACTATAATCCCTTATCATGCAAATGAAGTGCTTGCTGTTAAATTATACGTTTTTTAAGATTCATGGTGGTTATTTAGCGTTTCTTGTTATTACTACATGACATAATTGCATTTTTCAAGGAGGTGTCATACTGCCTGTTCACATCTGATACACACCGTGTTTATTATATTTCCAGGGAATTTGTAAACAGTGTATGGTGTATCAAGATACTGTCGACACTAGAGGTGCAAGAGATGGGAAAACGAGGCTTGGAAGTCCCAGTTCAGAGACTTCCAAGCAGCAGCTGTGATAGCTACGCAAGCCGGCAAGAGTCCAGGAATATGAATACCGGGATACCATCTGTTGGGACTCTTGATTTTTAAAGCAGTTTTACGAGTTAAGACAAAGTCACTTGTATTAGTATTATTAGCATATCTGCCTAAAACTTTTGGGGGGACAGAACTTCTTGCTTCTTGGTTAAGCCATTACATAGAAGCTATACTGGTAAGGATTATAGCATAACCTCTTCCATTTCGCCATCCTGTAATGCCAAAACGCGCATATTTAAGGACAATAGTGCCTTTGAATTAGCTGTAGTTTCTTACTATTTTACAATCTATTTAGAGCTCAACACTGATATTGGTGATGTATTATGTCCATTCAAAAGCTATATGTATGTCCCCAGTATATTTGTTCACAGTTTTGCTTGGTGTTCACAGTTTACAATCTATTTAGAGCACTGATAATGGTGATGTATAAAAGTTGTACACCTTACAGGGCCCACAATTATTTTATTCATGTGGGTCCCCTCAACATGTGGGGCTGTACACCATGGTGTACAAGTGACTTTTTTCATTTGTTCATACTTGGACTTGAATTGACCGTTAAAGCTGTCAAAATTGCATACTCACGAGCCACGAGGTTTTTACAGAAGGGTGATGTGGTATGAGTGCAAGACAGCAAGAAGAGCACCAATTTAAGGTAGGGTAGGAATTCCAACCACCCTAAAAGTTAAAATCCTCCTTTTACATTATTTTCTGTTGTTTTGCAGAAAATGACAGTATTTTTGGCTTAATGCTTTCCCACTTTGAAGAGGATTTATTTCTGGTAGGGGCGCACAAAAGTATCGGATCCAACTGGCCTGTTGGGTGCCGATGTGTTTAGGTTTTAAATGGTTCGGTACGGTTCGGTACTGGAACCAAGAATCGGCCAGCCAGTTGACCAGTTCGCTTTTTGGTTCTAGTACTCAGAATTGAAAACCCAAAACGAACGTGACTTGATCTATCGTGAACACGGGTAGGCTACAATTAGTCCAATTGTAAATAATTGGAGAAGTAGCGATTGGTGCTGGTTAGTGAACCACCTTGTTTCAATTTGCAGGAACGAAGCGACACTAACCATAGCTCACATTTCGAAGTAAAGCTACAATATCAAAGATGCATTAGGAGGTAAACTTTAGTCACCTTGCAAGTTATGAACAACCCCAATAGAATCACCTCGGTTTCAGTAATTTATTTTGGGACCAACCAAAACTAAATTTGGAATCAATGTTTTCGTTGATTCTTGGTTCGTTTCAATTCTCTTTAGAATCAATCGTGCCTTCCACTAATTATCCTTTTAGCACCTCGCATAATATCTCAAAGCCTAAGGGCAACACTTGCGCCAAATATTTGGTGTAATCTCACTCCAACCCAACACCAAATTTTGCACCACTTTGATCATATTTTGCATCATTTTGGTGCAAATGAATACGGCTGCGACACCATTTTGCACCAAAATGGTTAATGTCCTTTTTGCTCTTTTTCTTTTCCTTTTTATTATTATTATTTTTTTATTTTTTCATTCTGCATCAACTTTTGTTAAGGGTGATTGTGTCACTTTCTTATTATATAACAAATTTTAATTCTTAATTAATTATTATTTTTAATACTATGATTATTATTATTATTATTTTATTTGTGGTTTTTTCTATTAATTGTAGTACATTCATTAAATTTATTAAAGAATTCAACATTTTTGTTAAATGAAACACAATTATTTATTTAATAATTTATGTAGTAGTAAGTAATATAAATAAATAATTTTTCCCATAAATAAATTATTAAGAAGAAAATAATTATAAAATGTTCATTTAGTATAACTTTTAATGTAATGAGTTGCAAATGGTTTTTAATTTGGTGCATAATGGTACAACATTTACCTCAAATTTCAATGTAAGGTTGGAGATCTAATGAGTTATCTGAGGTCATATTAGGATAGTTAGACTTCTTGCACTTAGTAAGAATAATTGTGGCCTCATCAAGATATCTTGATGGTTGGAACTTAGAGTGAATTACCCAAATGGTCATTGAACTTGACAAAAAATTTTCACGGGATCACTGAACTTTGTAAAAAGTTTCCATAGAATCACTAAACTTTAAAAATCACCACATTCATCACTGAATTTTACAACAATGATCCCTGGGAACCTTTTGCAAAGTTCGGTGATGAATTTAAAGTTCAATGACCTCGTGGAAACTTTTTGTAAAGTTCAGTGTTGAATTGAATAATTTTTAACGTTCAGTGACCCCGTAAAAACCTTTTATAAAATTCAGTGACCATTTGGATAATTCACTCTTGAAACTTACACACATCTTTGAGTAAACTCTAGACAAATTAGCTTCTTGAAATCTGTCTTCACAAGGAAGATGTTTTAACATGTGTAGCATTTTGTATCAGTATCCTTATTTCTGAGAAAACTTCATTACATTTTAGCTTTTCTTTAACAGATTTGATGATATACCAAAATCTTTCTGTTATTCTCATTACTCAAGTTTTTATAGTGCAAATTGGAATTATTTGGTGCTCGATGAAGAGGGCTTCAAATTCCAAATAAAGAAACTGATGTTTTCAGGGAATCAAAATTGACCAAAAATCAACATCACTATACTGACGATATGTATGATTACATATTCTTCACTCCATCTAAAGGCTACTTCTAATTTTTTTCAATAAATACAAAGATAAAAACAAACATGATCAACAATTCATCGATTGGTGTACGACTCATGTCTTATTTGTGCAACTTTCTTCATATTATAACCAACCACAACAAGTAGAAGAGGAGCATGGAATTCGACCTGTTTGGCGAATGTATTCTGCATTTGCAGCAGTTTTTTCAGCCTGGCGATTTTTTCTAGCTTCTGCAGCAGCACGCATTTCCTCTGATTTTTGGGTTGCCATACTGACCTTCTTTACCATCTTTGCTTGAGCTTGTGCTCTCATTTGCTCAATTTGCGCCTGAAAACAAATACTATTTACATTTGCAATACCAAGTGCTCATTTCCACATTAGTTTTGTTCGATAAAAAAAGAAAAAATGCAAACACGTCAAAGAGAAATGGAAGTGCAGAAAAGCAAAGCTAAACTAAGGGTTTAGTAGCACACAAATTAAGAAACCAACTTGAAAAGGAGAGATGCACACTTAGTTTGACCCTCTAAATGAAGTTCTGAAAAGTATAAATAAATTTGAGTATTATCGGAAGAAGTAAACGTATAACAGTATATTTTGTAGCTTTGGCAGAACTGAAGAACATTCAATAAGGCTTTTCACAGACAGAGAAACTCAAAATTTAGGGGATAGGAAGAAGAGTGCTTTAAAAACAGCGATTCTTAAATAATTTGTAGTTGGCAAAAAAATCCACAAAAGCTCAATATGGAAAGCAAGCTCATTGAAATACTCGTGATCTAGTTAGAAATGGTATAGCAGTCCGATGCCAAGGATACAACAGGGAAAAAGAAAGTGAAATCTCCTCTTATATGTGTATTAGTTTTTTAAATATTTGATATTACATAAACCGAATTATACAATGTATTAGGTCATATTTTCTTATTTTAAATGTTCCCAGTTGTAAACGTGGGCTGGGGTGAACATCTGGGGGTATTTTCATTTATTTTTTATTGAATATTTTGCCTATTCATAATCCACTTCTCAGCGTCATTCCATTTGGATGGCAAAGGTCTTGAGAATGATCTATTCGCAGGATGGTGCAATGATCTCTCCCCTTTATGAAACTCAAAGCTTGAAGTACTGTCATAATCAAGAATCTCATCTTCATATGTTCTCATTGGTTGTAGTGAACAAAAATTACTGCCGTCACCCACTGAAACTAGCTGCATTTTGACACTGCTCACATCCTCATTTTCCCTCAGCACGAGTTCCTTTGGTTGCAGAAAATTACCATCACCTTGGCTTGCAGCTAGCACTGAAAAACTATGTTTTATTGGTGGAACTTCTGAAGCTGGAGCTGCAAATCGTAGTGCATAGACCCTAAATCAGCACTATGTTTTGTTCAATCAAAACCAAATCTACATGCCAACAAAAATTTAGAGATCTGTAATTAATCTTATAAGCAATTACTTCCAATTAAGTGCGGTTCTGCCAGAAAAGCACATTTTCTTGGTATACTTCTAAGCTAATAAAAAACAGTTCAAAGGAGGCCTCAAGCCTCATGTTGATCTGGTCCTACATTATATACAAATTAATGATTAACAAAAGATTTGAAGCAGAAATTAATATGGGCAAAGTTACCAAACCTTCCTCCTCAAAATCTCCACTTCTGGTGGCCAATAACCGGTTCTTCAAAAATTCTGAATCCTCAATCCTGGCAGGAGATGTTCTTGAAGAATTACTATTTGATTCGCCCTTTTCCCTCTGATGGTGAGGTCCCATTAGCTTCATTCTCAACTTACTTGGAGATATTATACCAGTCTACATCATCAAACAACAAATTCAAAATCTAATGCAGGTTTTTCCCAAATTGAAGAACTCTAAGCACAACCCACTAAAGAAAGATTCAAACTCTACAACCAAATCAATTGTTTCGCATTTATTTTTGAAGTTCGTCTCTAATAATTAAAATGTATTTGTGTGGATATCTAAGTAAAGTGAGTGTACAAAACAAATCATATTCTTACCTGAACTTTGTGTACCCTTTCGTATTCCATGAGATACTTTCACACGCACACGCACACTCACACTCACAATCTTGAAGAGAGAGAGAGAGAGAGAGAGAGAGAGAGAGAGAGAGAGAGAGAGAGAGAGGTGAGAAGAAGCCAAAGCTCTATGAAAACAGTTGTGCAAAGCTCAGACAAATTACGAATAAGATTTGGTAGGAGATGTGCCATTTTTTGACCCTTCACTTCTTATGGCCATTATTCAAAAAATAATAATAAATAAAAAATGCATAAATGAACACCGAATTTTTTTAAGAGTATGTGCTTAAAAAATAAGAATAAAAATAAAATTTACGAACAAATATTTTATTTTGTAAATGTGTAATTGAAAATAATTATGAGAAATATTTTTTGAAAAAATAGAGACAAACGAGGGCTTATTTTTAAAATGATATATATAATGAGTGATACTACACGTATATCTTGATGCTCATAACAGTGTTCATCTCCTCACATGGAGGGAAGTTTACTTTCAATAAAATACAGCCCTTGTTTGAGTCCATTTTTTCATCAAAAATCATTTTTCAATAGTTCTTCAATAAAATAATATTACACGTAAACTCAAAATTTTTCTTTATTTTTTTAACCACACATTTCTTATTAACATACTATTCAAAAATTGCACTTTTTGGACAAGAATAAGGCTCAAACAAGAGCATAATTTATTCGAAGTGGATCCCCCTTCACGTGAGGTGGTGAACACCGCATTATATACGAGTAGAATATTTCATACTTTTAAAATGGATGACTTGCATTTACCTGCTTTTCAAATTTCATGCCTAAAAAAAATGTCAATTATGAAATGATTTAGTAAAATATTTTTGATTTCTTATTTTAAGCAATTCAATATATATGTTCTTATAAATTTGCCAAGCCAGTAGATGTTAACTAATTTTCGAAGTGGCCACAAACTCATACTTCTTACGAATTCATTCATGTTTGGCTAAGAATAATAACAATCTCACTTATATGTAAATTTAACAATAACCAATTATTTATTCATCATGATTAAGAGCTTATTTGGTACAACTTAAAAATCAATTTTTTGACCGTTATTTCACTATTTCAGTCGTTATTTTTGAATTCTTCTCTCACAAGTATGACCCACTTTATCTCTAACAGTCAAAAAATCAATTATCAAAATCCTTACCAAACAAGCACTAAAAATTAGAAGTTATTTATAGAGAATAAATCACATCTCAATATTAAAATAAGTAATTATTTTTACTTGTAAGAAAAAAGATGTAAATGAGAAATAAAAAATTTACTTAAAAATAAATTCAGCCTACTTTTGAGCCTAATCAAACATGCACTTAAATTGGGTTTTGTCCAAAACTGTGTTAATTATTGTTTATTTAGTCATTCCTTGCTTTTGGACTATGCCATATAGCAGCGGACATTTTGTGTCACAATCAGGAAATTGTCTAAGAATATTATTAGTGAGTCCAATAAATAAATGTAATGTCTGTCCCCTCAGTAATCTGTTTAGGGACATTTGCACTTACCTTTGTCTTTAATAATTATTGTGACCATAATTTTTGACCAATTGGGGTCCACATTTACATTATCGAATCAAAGCTGGCCAATGCTCCTTTTAGAAATCAAAGTTGAAAAGGCTAAAAAAGGAGATCTAAAGAAATTAGCTTTTTATATATCCATAAAAATACTAAAAAGGAGGAAATGATCAAAAATTGACGAAACATTTTACAACTTAAAAAATCATCTTGTACTAAGCAAATCTTTTTAGTTATGTTGTATATTAGGTTAGGATCAATGGGTCTATCCAGTGCAGGTGTCAAGGATCGCAATTATACTTGGTCTTTGATTACTTGCAGTTACAGTTTATCCAACTTCGAACGCACTTTATCAATGTTAGTTTAAGATGTAAAAAATTATTTCAGCACTAAAAGAACCTTACTGTTTGTAAATACTTATTATGATCCGTTAACTGTTAAATGTCTACTTATGACACTTAGGTAGTGTTTGATTGGATCATTTTCTATGGAAAATGGAATAAGTTTTCCATCTTTTACTCAATTAATGGTATTTGATATCACCAATATGGTGAGAATTTATTTTCCCGGTTATTTTAGCAAATTTTAATTAATTTATTTATTTATTTATTTTTGTTGGCAATGGAAACAAATTCTAAGAATTATTGTAAAAAAAAAAATTCCTTTAATTGACAATTTTCATGTAAATAAAGCCAAACGAATGTCAAAAGATAGATGATTTTCTTGATTTTTTTTTTTGACAATAGAAACAAATTATATCCTCAATACCAGTAAATTTTATCCCTTTAATTGATAATTTTTGTGTAAAACAAAATCAAACGAACATCAAAAAACACTTCTATTTTAACATTTTTCACTTGAAAAATTATACCAATCAAACACAATAAATCGACAATTCTCAGGAAAATAATTTTTAGGCAATTCAATTCCCTGGAATTCATTTTCTTTCCACCCAAATTCCATCTTTGTAATCAAACAGACCCTTAGGTTTTTCTTACTTAAATCATTATTGGGGTAGTAGGTATTCAAAGTCTTGTCAAACTGTTCGTCCTTGCACCAGCAATTGTAATTTTCTATTTTCGCAAATCAATGAATAAGCTATATACAATACTTTCAAACATTCGGTTGTAGAGCTTCTTTTTATTTGTCTTTGAATATATTTCGTCCCAAATCCACAGAGAACAAATGGAATGTAGTCTAGTAAACTAGAATACTGTTGCATGGTGCTCCTTCTATGCTAGAAGGAAAGGCATTCCTTGATACTAGTGTTATGTGCTGACATAATTATTGCTCAAGAGGGCTCCATGTCAGCCACAAAAAGGTCCCATTACATGCCAGCGTGTCCATTAGCATTTGCATCATGATTGTTGAAGCAGTATCTAGAAAATGTGTGCAATCCTAACATTTGGATAAAATGATAATTGGAAGCCTTGTGCAGACCGCGAAAATGAAGGCCTCAACTCGACTTTGAAAATAGAAGACATTTTAAGTGCACATTTTGACACAATCAAATCGATTGATTTTTCCATGCGAACGAACACATATACATAACAAATTACATGAGAAGTATAAGAAAGCACAAAAATCAATCAATATGGTACTTCCAGTAGAATGACAAGTGTTGAACTCGCAAAAATGATAAAGAAATCCCTAAAATCATCTATAAAAAGGGCCATTAACACAACAACAAATGACTACAAATTGAAATGTTGCAAATCAAACAGTTAAAAAACTATCCAACCTTTCACATTCTAAAAATTCACCTCGGGTCAAGGCAAAAACTAGGGTTGACACTTGATAAGTGTATTTTATACGCTTATTTGGACCTAAATATATCGACATTTAACAATTCTTTTAAGAAATTATGGCTAATTTATTGTATATTTCGTTTATTAAGTAAAACTTTATGATCGAAAGTGGAATTGAAAGAAAAAAAATGAAAAATGGCAAAGTACAAAATTTGAGGACCAAATTGTAAATACCCAATGATTGATTTAGGCAATAAGAGATACTTTGAAGAATGCTAAGAGTCAATTGGATGAAATTAGAAGTAAAAAAAAGAATGGAATATGATCAGAATATTAACATAAATCAATTTTCAATCACACAAGATATCTTCCAAGTTTTTGATCAAATATTGAAACCCATTTCTGACATAGTAAACATCCGAATTGGAAAAATTCTATTGCTAGCAAAATTGTAGCCTTTTGAGTTAAATTTTCAACACAGTTTGAATTACCTAAATTGGATATTGGGAGATAAAATTATGATCAAAATATTGACTACTGTGTAGATGCAAAAACATGCACACACAAAACTAACTTTCGTTATTCAATTGGAACTCTTTTGAAAATCAATTTGAATGTGATTTTCAACCAATTTTCAACTCCTACAAATATCTAACAGTATAATACATTGAGGGCCTCTCCTACACCTCTCATATACATCTCATACTCAAATATTCATCAATTATTATCATCAAATGGGAGACGAATTAATAGTTTTTGTTAGAGAATAGAATGTGATTTGCAAGAATTCAATCAAGTGAAGAATCAAACTTTATTTTTGGGCAAAACAAGAAAACGAAAGTGGAGATTCATCAAGATTCCATTGAAAGATTCAACATTTCAATACTCATCTTCATCTTCATCTTCTCAATTTATCAAAAATTCGGGTTATGTATTTTCACTTAAATGTAATTTCTTGTAATTTCAATATGTTATGCTAGTTTTATATATTGTTAGGATGAGATGAATCTTATTGTGATACTTTTAGTTTTTAATTAATTATTTTAAATTTAATTTGGTTTGATTTGTAGATGTCTATTATCGTTTTATTGTTTCAATTGCTTGGTAACCAATTGAATTGTTAGTGAATTTTATTGTTATCGAAAGAGACAATAAGATTTAAGCACATTATAATAAATATTGTAAAATTTGATAAAGAATAGAGATATACCTCTATATTTTATATGATATCAATAAGTGTTCTAGCACATGTTAATGCATTTATCATGTTCTTATTTTTCATTGGGAAATAGAAGGGTCTCATGAGGTTGAGTGGATTTGATTTGATCGTTATCGATAGAGGCTTTCAATCAAATTAGGAACATTGACCAACATGAATAATTCAAATTGTCTCTTTAATTGTTGCACTAAAAATGAAATAATAAGGAAGATTCGACATATTAGCAATACATCTCACATATTTGAAAAACACATTTACTTGCTTTCACTAATGTAATTGATAATTTAGAGATTAATATAGAAAAATTACAAAACTTGTTTGTTATTTGATTAAAGTTACAATTAATTTTAACCCGGTCAAACATATAGTTCTCATAGTTTCGACACTCTATTCACTACTTTATTATTTGTTCACGATTTTGTCCGCTTGCGGGAAATCAAACAATCAACACTCTTTGAAATTTTTGCATCCTCTAATTGAAGTGTGCCTTCAATCTGAAAATCCTCCAAAAACATTTTTCTTCCTTCAAGCAGAAATTTCACCAAAAACACATCCGAAAACCTCAAAAGGGGCATAATCCTGCCAAAAATTTCTACAGGAAATCTTACGGTTGGAAATAAATAAATAAATAAATAAATAAATATATATATATATATATATATAGTTGATAACCAA